CGACGTAGCACAGAAATCTCTATGATTTTAATAACCATCTCATGCATCGTTACCATTTCGTAGCTACACATTTTGCTAAATATATATTTAATTACAGTACACGTAACGCGAGACCGCTTACACTTACTGTAGGTGCCTGTAATTACTCATCAAGAAGAATTACCCCTCACTTACTGTTTCACAATTTAATCCACAACATTACCAAAGGCCATTCAGGAACGAATGTAAAAGAATATAACAGTTGCAAATTTTCCCATGTCTTCCTCAACCAAGATGCTTTCACCTTAAGTTCTTCTGGTGAACCTGTTCTCTCTCTCTTCGAACTCTTCCTGGTGCTGTAATAATCCATCAAACGTCCGTTTGTTTCTGTTTCCCTGTATCTTCAAACAGTATACTTTTCCAACTAAAACCAACGACGTCCATTCGTTCCTTCCACTTAAAACGCCTTAAAACTTCCTGCAATTAATAGGCTATTAAAAATATTAATTTCGTCTCGTCGATGTCAGGATCGTCGATCCAAGTGATTCGTTACGTGACATAACTTTCTTCCTCGTTCTCGTTTTAATTGCATACGACGAGTACTCTGTCGCTTGTTGGGACACTTGTTGAATGTGAAGCAAATTTAAACGCTATTATAAAATTATTAAGGTCCATAAAAGAATGATTATCGCAAATTTGATAACGCAAACGCCGTGTATATTTTTACTGTGGGATTGAGACTTTTATGCTCTTCAAAAGGAACAATAACAGCTAGGAATTATAAGGGGAGTTTTGGCTAGGGGCGTAGAGTCCCAGCTTGGTAATCGGGGGGTCGTGGGTTCGATTCTCGCTTGGGTCCATCAAATTTTTCCTCGACTTTTTATAGATATATGATATTAACTTTGGCGAAGAAATGTAATTCTAAGGGATGCAAAATCAAAAATTAGTCGTTTATGATTTCGCCTACTAGTGGTGGTGTGTGATTGATGCTGTGCTATGTTGGTACGTTTGTCGTACACAGGGGGTTAGTTCCTCTCGCCTTTAGGAATTAAATTGGTTAATGGCGACCGTTCGTAAAGCGGGAGTTTATAATTTGCCCTTAGAAATTACAATCGTAAAATGAGAACTATCTGTGCATTTCTCTAACGATACAATTTACACGACCTTACGCGCGAAATCGCGCACAGCGTTCTCACCGCTGAGAAATCTCAATGACGTCGCATCTCTCGAGTGCACCAGGTCTAAATCGTATAAAATACTTTCTGTACAAAACGACGTAATACACGTCCTAATACTTATGAAAGGCAATGTATACAAATGTGTATATTTTCTTCGACGAATCATACTGAATATCTTCATAATTCTGCTTACGAAAGAAGCGCACGGGATTGCGTTCGCGTTAGAAACGCTGATGCAAGATCGTTTACCCGTAGAATCGTCGCGTTACCGGTCGCATTATGGAAATAGGTAACGAGGAGTCGTCGCGTTCTCGGATGCATCTTAAGTTGTGCTCCTCGCGAATCGATCAGACGGGAAATTTGAGAAACGGCGACGGATAATGGTGGAATATTCACTTAAATAGCAATTGAACCGGAGAATCTAATAAGTGGAATGTCGATCGTCTATCGACGATCCGTGTCCTTCCTTGTCTTCGAAATACAGTTATTACGACGTTTAACGAAGCTGGAGAGAACAGTGTACCGTATACATTTGAATAAATTTGAATGTTTGAGTGAAATTGAAAGCGGTCTGAATTATAGACAGTGAATGAAGCACTTCTGTGTGGAGTTAATTTATTTAAAACAGCGATTCGTGTGCGCGGATACGTTGTGTTAATGGTCATTGTCTTGAACGTACAATTTGACCAATTTAATTGGCGTAACGTATCCGTTGCTCCGTTATAATGCGTTTAAATAACCTGAACTGTTATTTCAGGTAAATTTAATTGTTACAGTTAGAAAAGAATTATTAATGGATCTCTAATTTGTGATTGGAAATTTAACACTTAACGCTCTTGCACTTTCACTTCAATTACTTTATTCTGTATCTTTTTTAAGCATAGGTTTTTCTTGTAAACCACAGAATTATAGTTCCTTCCATGTATATCTTTATGAAGAGAATTTATGTGATATAATGTCTCGGCAGTTTGGGGGGATAATTAAAAAGTGAAAGCTTTTGCGTGTCTGTCGAATCATGCAAATGCATATCTGGATCACCTTGGGGAACGAAATTCTAGATCGCGGGCAATTTGATAATTCCGGTGAAAAGCTGAAAATGGGTTACCTACGTTTAAGGACAGCCTTATGTCGAAATGAGGACAGGTCCCGAATTTTACAAGGATGCCTTGTGATTTTTTTTTTTTTTTTTTTTATTGGGTGATTAAGGTCAGATGCACCTTCTGAGGTTATTAGTGACCACAGTGAGTTTATTCAGTGGTGCAGTCTATAGTAATATCTTTCAAGAAGTTTATAGCTCTTTTACTTGAATCTTCTTTTTGAAGCATGGTCAGTGAATTCGGCAAGTTACGTTGGATCCTTTTCATATTGTACTTTGGGCAGGTTATCAGGATGTGATCGATGGAGTTTTGTATCCCGCAGATATCACAGTTGTTTGGTTCCTTTTCGGTGATGAGATGGGAGTGTGACCAGTTTGTGTGACCTATTCTTATTCCTGTTAGCTTTACTTGATCTTTCCTGTTCAGTAGCCATCGTTGACATCGTTTATACTGTTTCTGATTGTGTGTAGTTTAATCGGTCTTGAATTTTTCCACTCTTCGTTCCATGACTCTATTGCCGCTTTAGTGAGGTAATTTTGAAGGTCTTGATATAATATAGGGACATCGTTTGATTCGGACGTACTGGTACTAACTAGCTTTGCTGTTGAGTCGGCTTTTTCATTGCCTTCGATGTTGGCATGCGAGGGGATACAGGAGTACAAAATTTCTTTTTCGCCGCAATTGAGTATTGCATTTAATTCGATAATGTTCCGTATTATTGTGTTTCTGGTTTCTAAATTTTGTAAGGCTGTCACAACACTTTTGGAGTCTGAAAGCTATTCTTTGTTGGATCCACGAGGAATATTAAGACGTTCTGCGAAATCAAAAGCTAGTTTTAAAAGCTCTGTTCTAGTCAATGGCATTAGGCGATTGTCCAATTGTTTCACGTGATTATAAAGTTGCCATAAAAATTCCTCGTTAAAAGTTGAATCAAAGCGACCTAATTTCGGCTTAAGCATTATTTCTTGACAGCTTTTCATCTTGTAGAGAACTACGTGACACGTTATATTTTTCAGTAGCTAATCTTATTGATAATTCACCGTTCGTAACATAAACAGTTGCGACTTTCATATTATTTTTATCCCATTTACCTTTATTGCTTATTCGTCTTCAAATTTCGGCATTTTTTACCCGTTTTTAAAATAAAACTATTTATATTATACAGAATCTTGGAAAGATATAAGCGGACAAACTATCATAATAGGAAAATACACGATTTTCAATATTTTTCTTAACCATTTTTACAATAGTAAAACATAAAAGAATACTTACATTTAGTTCAGAATAAAGTTTGACAAAGCTTGATTAGAGCAGGAATACTGCTTTTAATCGTAACAAAATTAAGTGTAATATCAGTGTCGCTTGCCCAATCTATCTACAACTAACTGAAAAATGTGTTTAACGTTAGGAAGACGCGTGGCAATGTGTCATTTGTTTCTTTATGCAGATGGATAATTGAAATATTCAACTGTCCGGGGTTACCACGGTAAGCTCAATTGTTTTCTTCTGGTGTCTAGCGGCGGTACGTTGGTTTCGCATAGAATTGCGGTGATTGGGCTCGTACAGTACGCACCAGTTGCTATTCTAGCTCCAGCGTTGTGTATGGGTGACAGTATTTTTAAAGTGTTTGGTTTGGCAGAACTATATACAGTTGATCCGTAATCCAGCTTAGATAGGACCAAGATGCCTTGTGATTGTTTCATGGTGAAGCATAACACTGTTTTTGACCCATTCAGATTTTTTTAAATCTTCAATAACTTCTATTGATTCGTTAATATTTTAGAAAAGTATACAGTTGATCCGTAATCCAGCTTAGATAGGACCAAGATGCCTTGTGATTGTTTCATGGTGAAGCATAACACTGTTCTTGACCCATTCAGATTTTTTTAAATCTTCAATAACTTCTATTGATTCGTTAATATTTTAGAAAATCTTGAATGACTTTTCTTGATACATTAATATATTTTACAATCTTAAATAATTTTTCTCGATTTATTAAGATTGTTTCAAGTCTTCAATAATGATGTTAAGACGTAGTGCATAGCAATCTAAGTATGTAGGCCAGATAACGAGGTTACATTTATGTTTTACCATATGAATGTTACGATTGCATCTGAATGCTATAAGAAATCTGAACAAGATTTCATTATAAATAAAAGAGCTGAATGCAATAAAAAAAAATTGAAAAAGGAATACATGAATGAAGTTCAACAAAAAAAAGTTTACTTGCGAAAAAACTCGCTGAATGCACGTTAGATCTCATTAACACGTTGACTGCCAAGCTACGAGATAACTCGTAGTTGGCACTTTGCTGATAGAAGTTACATCCTATTCGGAGACGCCCGACCATGAGATAATTCGAAAGCATTTTTTAAAAACAATTAAAATTAATATGTGTCTGTTTAATTCTATACAATAAATTGAAAAAAAAAAAAATGTTGGCGCCTAGAACAGATTTCTTCAAAATAGGCTTGGCAGTCAACGTGTTAACAAGCTACCAAGGAATTTTTCACGGCATTATATTAATTGCCATCATTTCAAATGTTTGCCATTTATATTAAATTCACATTTCTCATCCTGATCTTCAAATTTCAATTACAACTTCGATTCTCTTCTTTCCACTCTCCAACCATAAAGTTTCATCGAAAAATTTCTTGCTCGCTTCTTAATGAAAATTTAACATAATTTACAAAAATTCTGATAACAGACTAAACCAAAAAAAAAGTAATACTCCCAATTTTTCCAGGTCGAAGACAGCAAATCTACGAATCGTGGTATTCTGAGGTTCAACGCGAAATCACCCGAAGAATCAACCACCACATCGCTCCCATCGTTATCGAGACCAAGATCAACTCGAGCCAGAACAACTCAATCCAAGAGATCTTCAAACTCCGACAGACGTACCGAAGGAACGACCGCAGTGTCTGTGATTGATCCAGAAGCAAACTTCGACTCGACGAAAAGTCCGAGCCCCAAAACCAGCCCAACCACCGAGAAAAATGAGAATTTCTCCACAACAACGGAAATCCCGGACGATCCGAAAAGAATCTTCTCCGGAAGAAAACTCGAGGGAAGCAACAAACCAGAGGAAACAGCGAACAGAAGAAACGGCAAGAGATTCCATCCTGAAGCCAACGAAGGAACGAAATTAAGAGACAACGAGAAGAAAGTGGTTCGTGAAAAGCCTAAAGAGAATCCTCGAAGATCGTTCAACGGAAGAGCCGGCAATTCTGCTGTCACCGAGAGATTGGACAACAGAGGACCGTCTGTGTTTCACGCGACCACTGAATCCTCGCGATCGAGAACCGGAAGGAAGATCCAGACGACTTATTCCATGAAAGATCTGAAGACTCAAATTCCTACCTCGAGAAGATACGTTAACAAGAACTTGGAGGACGTCGAGACTACCACAGCTTCGCTGAGAAGAGAAGGAAGAGGAGGTAGATCGACGACAGAGAAGGTGGAAAGAAGCACGAGATCTGGAAGATCGAAATTAAACACCAGAGAGAATAATTCTGTCGTTCGAAGAGGTCAAGACACTCTGTTGACAGAGTCTGAGAGTGTCAGAGTGGATATTCCTCTGGAAGTAGATGGAACGGAGAATCCAGTTTCCGATTCAACTACGAGCCTCGGTTTAGCTTCTCAGAGAAGAAACGACGTGAAGGAATCGTCCAGATCTGGTACGAGAACTGGATCGAAGAATCGAGGACGATCGAACGATTCTGAAGCTGCCGGCTCGTCCAGATCGAGCTCTCGAAGAGGATCTTCCAAGTTCAGCGATTTCACGACTACGGAAGCTAACGAGCAGATTGTCAGCTCGAGAAGAAACACGGTTTCTAGAGATCGTTCGAGGGGTACGGATGTTAAGAAGAGTTCCGGGAGCGAGTCTAGATCGAGATCTAGGGGTAGAAATTTTGAAAATAACGCGAAGGTTAGCTCGAGCGGTGGTTTGGAACGAGACGTGAAGAGGAAATCGGCTGGGGAGAGAGGCAATTCGGAGAGAAGATCGAGGATTCCTGATGGTGCTGCGAGAGGAAGTGAAAATCGTGGACAGGATAATCTGGATACGCGCGGAAGATCGAGGAGTAGATCGAGATTGGACGCTGTCCCGCCTTCTGCTATAGGTGAGTGAAAAGGTCTTTTTTTTCATCCTTGTGTGAATAACCGCAATTGTTCGAGTACTTTATCGTCCAATTTTAGTAGCTTTCTGATAAGAAAATTGTAAACTTGAAGCAAACACGGGGAAGATAAAATATTTTAAGTGAGAAAATGTGGAAAATCAACGGGTTTAAGAACCCTTTAGCGTACAGGCGTTGAAATTCACACAGAGCAGTAGTATAATGTACAGTACAAAATAAAGAAGAAAATCAAGAAGAGAAAAAGAAAAATAAATGAAATAAAACAAAATAGAAGAAAATGAGAAGAAAAATAACAGAATAGCACGCAGGACAAAGAGTAAATTAAGGATTATTTACAGCGGTTAGAGCAGAGTGCTTAAACGATAGATAAGAAATCCCGAAAAAATTAAGATTATTGCAAAATTTGTCCGCGTTGGTGCACAAACGATTTAAGGAGTTAAATTTCCCATAAAGAGTCCGGTGAGTCTTTGTGTAGAATATGGTATGCATTCTTGGGTGAGAAGTGGGGACGTGGAATTGTAATTCTGATAGAACGTCGGGGCAGGTAATCAGCTGATTGATAACTTTGTAAATAAACAGTAGATCAGCTGTGAGATGCCGTTATTGACATTAGGGTTAAAGTGATCTGAGTGTTGTTGAGTTGTTTTATAGTCATTGGTACAAATTGAAAGTTGAAAGTATTGTAATTTGTTCGTTGGGTAATTTGATTATGCCATTGATAGAATTATTTTTCGTAATTTAATGATATTTTTTCATATTGCATAGCATTCACTATGTTCGCATAATTTTTCGAAGGGGATTAATTTTTTTCATGAAAAACAAAAAAACTTTCAAAGCTTATTTCGAGAATTTTAAAGGTTCTTAAATAACAAAAATTCTTTACAATTCATTCTTTTTCACAAACAGAATTTCGAAGCTTATTCAGTCAAACGATAAATATGTGTATTCGATAAATTTTCATTAATAACGAATTTTATTTTAATCGCCAATAATACGCATTCCGTATAAAAAGAATAATCTACAAACTAACCATAACCCTCTACTGTCGAGACACCGTTTTTGGGACGTAAAGCCCGATACGGAGTCTACGAAACTCCTCAACTTCCGGTTAATTTATACATAAATATAGAACATTTCTGACAACTTCTCTTACCGATTTACCTTTATCACACATTTTCCTAATGAACGTTATAGAATAGAGCGATCGGTTGGATTAATTTCATTTTAATATAATAACGTCGAGTTCTAAATAGAATGGAAGAAAACAAAAAAGGCAGAACCAGCGGAGTCTCTGGGACTCCGCCTCGACAGTAGAGGGATGAATCAATGTTTTGTTACCATATGAGCCACTCAAAAGCCAAAGTGATTAACCCCACTTTTTGTTATTCTTCCAATTTCAGCATCGAAGCACACGCTTGACACTTACTTTTTCATAAATAAAACAAATTTAATAAATTTTATTTCATGCAGTTAGTCACTTTGATTTCTAAGTGGCTCACATAACAATGCCAAAAATATTGTACAGTAGAATTCATACCATTTCCAGGAACCCAAAAATCAAATTAACACTCGAATTAATATTCTAACGAACTGAAAAGCTTCTCAAACATCAAAAATTGCTCCAATTCGTTCTTTCCTGTCTCTCGAACAGACGTTACCACAACTGTTGCGCCAGATACAACAGTTTCCAACGATGTAACGACCACAGAATCCGAAGTAACGAGCACTACGGTAAGACCAGCTACTCCAGCATCGACAACCACCAGTCCAAGAACAACGACGAGACCAACCTCAACTTCTACCTCGACGACTGAATCGTCGGGACGAGGCAGAGGAAGAGGCAGAGGCGGGAATCAAGGAAGAAAGCAGAAAGAGGACTTCTTCAATCACGGATTGGGATTCAGAGGAAGAAAACTGGTGCCTGAGGCGTCGTCGCCGAACGTCACCGAGCTGAAGAGACCTACTCCGCCGAAGAACGACACTCAGTCGCAGGGAAATCCAGGCTGGACGCTCAGGAGGCGACCGGCTCATCTGAATAACTTCGAAAATCCTTCAAAGACAATTGTGCCGACGCCGAGGGAGCAAACGAACGAAGTAATTCCGTCGAACGAGCAATCGACCAGCACCGAAGTCGTAACGACCGTGGAAAGTTCCACGTCTAGCACGAGAAGAGGCTTCAAGAAGGTGCAGCCGACGGAGGAGAGCAGCACCGTACCTGGAACAACTACCAAGAGCTACAGAAGGGGTAACAAAACTTTCGATAAGGGCAGAACATTCGAATTTGGCAAGGGAACCGCCGAGCCTGACGAGAACGACAACTATCCCCCTGAATTTAAGGCGAGACTGAATCAGCTGGTGAGTCCTACGTTTGATTCTACATGTCTCTTAATCTTAAGGTTTTAATAAATTTAAATTATTGTTAATTTAAGTTTTGTTAAATTCAAAATTAAATTAAATTTCTT